TTTGGTCTTGCTTAGCGTCTTTCCAAGGCCCTATGGCTAACGAACTCTATAAGCTTTCTGATCTACAACCTAATCTGTAATTGTCCAATATTAAAGAATAAAGGATATTCTTCATTATAATGGCCAGAGCACTTAAGTTTCATTTCATGTCAGCATAAACAATTTTAGCTCGGACGGTGTAAAATGATGGCCTGTCAGAGTGACATGTACAGTGTGCCACGTGACTCTAGTAATTTGAGATAAAAATGCAAGTTTCAAACTGTCAGGAAAGAAACCAGTGTACTACGTGTGGGTGTCTGAAAATCTTTAAAATATTGCATTAGCGTCAATATTCCAATTAGTTAAACATTGTAGATTTACCCCAGATTACTTACCTTATTATTTATTCACACAGTTCTTCTCATAAGTGAAACTGTGCCAGGTCATGATAGCTGTAACCTTCATGATGTTGGGGTGCTTAGGCTCAGTGGTCAAGGATGACGCATCCTACTGGCTAGGGGACCTTGAATTCTTCCTTTCTAAAGTAGGCAGAATTTTACTATTGAATAAATTTGCTATGGTCAGATGAGAGTCCATGTGGGCCATGTCTAGCAATAATAAGCTCTCCAATATTAGCAGTTGTTATTTATTGGTAGAAAAGAAAACTACCTAACCCTAAAAATATTTTTTCTGTATGTTTGGCAAGAACCCTGAATTCGCCTCCCGTAAGAGCAGTTGCACATTATTGCAAGCATGGCTCATATTTTTTCCCTGGAGGAACAGTTAAGAAAATAACTTTAGAGCTGTCCAGGGAACGGGGAGGCTTCATTCCTGATTGCTGCAGGTAGAATTAGTACTGAGTGCCTTTTCCTAGGAAGGAGGTTTAGGTTCTGTACAGGGTAGGTATTTTTCAGTGCATTTCTCAGCACGGAACTGGCTAACATGCATACTTTCAAGAATTATTTGTATAAATACCCAGCAAAACATCAGAAAGGGGAGGTAAAAATACTCCCTCTTCATTAATCAATGCCACTTTACAAGTCTAGTTTTTATCTCCTTGGTAATGCCTTAACATCACAGTTGATGATTTATTTACTCAGACTCTCATTAAAACACTATTGTAAATTGACTTTAACTTGGCTAGTTAGGAAGTCATTTTTACATGGTTTATGCCCATATGTAAGCTTTACATTACCTTATAGGGATTAGAAAAACGTTCATATTATCCTCATTTAATTCCTTCAAATATGAAATAAACTGGAAACATTTCCTATAAATATGTTGATTTCATCATTTTAGCCCCTTTCAAATAGAATCCCACATTATGAAGTAAGCTTCCACATCAAAGTATGAAAATGGGTCAATAAATTCTGTGATAGTGCTTGCACCGAACCTAAGAACTTTTCTCGTTGTTCTAATCAGGGTTGTCAAATTGTCAACCCCTGCAGTGCCATCTCCATTCTATTTTTAACAAGCTCTCTGAGGACAGCAATGACATCTTCCTTTTCCTTCCTGTGACACCCAGTATGCTCTGTTTAAAGAGAATGAATGAAATGCATGTTTAAACTGTCCTGCAGTTGTTAATTACTTTCTAAGATGTTTCACAACAGGAAAGTATTTGGCATGATTTTTTAGAACATCGAAGTCTTTAAGGCCATGAGGGTCTCAATGTTTGCTTAAAATGATTGAGGAAAGGAGTAAAAGAGTGTGTTTATTTGTACAAAATGGATCATACGTATGGTGAATATGGAATAAGGGCTTGATTGTGGCTAAATCTTTGTAAAACTCAGGGTCTAAAAAATAACAGCAGCCATATCAATGGTTAAGGTTGTTACCCTGAGGACATAGGAAAATTCTGGAACCATTTTTAAACTACTTGAGTGTATATGTCTGAGGCTGTACACGCCAGGGCACAACCCTACCAGCTGTCCTCCACCTGCAGCTTGCACTACCTCACAGCTGTAAAAGCAGAGCTTAGTGGGAGGAGGGGAGAGGGGCCAAGAGGGCTTCCATGTCCTTGAAAATTAAATTAGTAGGATTCAAATTTTATGTACTACCTTATGGAAGTCAGTTTTTATCACATTGTGTTTTCTGCCTCACTGAAATTAAAAAGCGTGGTTACTCTGAACTCAAATATTAGTTTGAACTCATAAAGTAGTCACAGTCCAACCCCTACATTATGAGTGTCATTAAACGAGTAAAGAGACTATAATTAGGCAAAGATATAGCTAAATTACTGTTCTGGTTACAAGTGGACAAAATTTGCTTTCATCCTGAATTGATTCATGACTGTGGGCGATGTCCCTACAAGACGCCCACACAGAAGATAGAGCAGAGGAAGGAGGGAAAGTAGAAGAGAAATCAGAGAAGTCGGGAATGGAAAGGAAAGGAAGCGGCAAAGAGGAAAACAGCAAAGGAAAGAATTTCCAGTGCGCAGAGTGTAGACATCGCTGTCAGTTACTGCGCCACAGCGGGTCCCCTGGTTTTGCATTTCACAGCACACAGCTCTATAAAGAATAAGGGTGAATGTGAGGAGCATGAGCCATTTGCCCATGTAAGAACCTTAAAGGCAACCTGACAGGAAAGTATTTGGCATGCTTTCAATAGCTTAGAGTATTAACGTCCTCCAGGACATGGGCTTCTCAGTGTTTGTTTAAAATGATTGAGGAAGGGAAGTAAAAGAGTACTTATTTTTATGAAATGGGTCTTTACGCAAAAATGCTAACATGGGATGAGAGACATCGTGCTGCTGGATTTTCATGTGGAGACAGGACACCGAGGGCTTTTCCCCAGGAAGCAGCTTTATTCCCGCTGGCACTGGCTCAGTGAATTCATATCCAAAGGTTGAGTGCTAAACATAGCATAGTTGCATGCTTTCATACAGTTTTTGTGTCTTTGTCTCCCTTACATGGGCATGCACTAACATTTTACAGTCTGGTTGGGTATGATTTTGTTACAGAGTTATGTCAGAACTACATGTGTGTACACAGAGGCTGATATTGCTACATTGTAAAAAGTTCCCACCCAGACACCTCAGGAGAGGCCCTACCACATATTTTAGTGATATGTGCATTCCCATGTTTATAGCAGCACAACTTATCATAGCTAAAACTTGTCAGTGGCCCATATGCCCATAATTGGAGAATGGATAGATACAGTGTATTTATACACACTGGAGTACTACTGAGCCATAGCAAAGGATAAGCTTGAGTCATTTGTAGGAAAATGAATGCACCTTGAGGCCATAATGTTAAGCGAACTAAATCAGACACAAATTTAAATATCACATGGATTCTTTTATGTGAGAACAGCAAAGTGTAAATATTAAAGAATGAAAACCTCCAAAAAAGATAATAGGAAACGAGGAGATACCTCTTTTGCAAGTGGAGCTAGAGCCAAGACACAGACAGAGAAGGGCAGGAGGGCGGGAGAGGGAAATGAAAGGAATGGAGCCGCGTTTCCTCCCTGCACCACCTCCCCACAGCGGAGGTCACCGTTGTGTATCACAAACACATACAAATAAAAATTGTGAAAACTGAAATAAAACAAAGCATGTACGCTCTAGTCTACTTAGTCTGGGGTCCATCGCTCCTTGTATACTTTCATTTCACCTGAGCCAGTGAACATGTCAGCAGTGTTAACTCTGGTACATCGGGGAGGCAGGCAAGGCGGATGCCCCAGCTCACTGCAGAAGTTTCAGGCCCTGGCTGTGGGGAGCCAGTGTGGCTTTTTAATCAAGGAGAGACATTCTTAGGGTGGAAGGGGAGTGGAATGTCACTACGTCAGATAGTTTGGAGGAGGGACAGGCGCTGAGCTAAAAGTACTGCTGTAAGGGTGAAGCCAGCACCTGATTACAGGGCTCTGAGTGCTTGGAGCAAGGGCAGGAGAGAGGAAGTGGAGGTGGAGAGATTGAGCAGCTAATTGTGAGTGGAGGGGCCCGTGTAATAACCTCTTCCTGAGGAAGACTTCTGTAAATGAGCATTCTCTGCAGATAGGACAGGATTTTTTTCTCATGGTTTCAAACCATGGAAAGAATAAACCATGTTTGGGGAACGATGAAATCAAAAGCCTGTTGATGAGGAGTTCCAGACAGGTACAAGTAGACCATAAAGATGAACAAAGAACTTCTGATTACTAGGAACGTCAAAGAGAACTTTTACAGGAGACAGAATCTAGGAACAACTTATATTTTTCAGAAACGTTGAATTTGTCTCTCTCTCTCTCTCTCTTTATTTTTTTTGGTACCAGTAATCAAACTCAGGACCTTGTGCTTGCCAGGCAGGTGCTGTGCCACTGAGCTATATCCCCAGCTCTGAGCTTGTCTCATAAGATAGATTTTTGTTGAAAAAGATAATTCAGATCTAGTTTCTGGCACCTAGTAATTGTGTTTAGTAGCTATAGTACTTTCCCTATTTTTAGCATTATCTTCCTTACATAATTGATGACACCTATCTTTGTGTGTGTGTATATATATACACACCAGCACACAAGTACACACACACACACACACACACACACACACACACACACAAGCCTGGCACATAGTAGACAGGGGACAAATGGTGGGTGGTACTTTCATTCTCAGCAATAACAGTTACCAGAGGCTTGGTAGAAGTCTCTTGCTAGTGTTGAAGAATTCCTCAATAAAACAAGGAGTGGTCTTGGCCATGGCCCCAAAGAGAAAGAAGACACTCCCGAGCACACAGTAATTTCTGTGTGGGGGGAGGCATTTATAAGCAGCTGCGGAACCCTTCTTGTTGACTACGTGGCCCAGGGTTGCCGCGGTTGCTTGGCTTTTGGTGTGGTTTGTGTAACACTGTGATGAAGGGGTTAACAAATGCCCTTACTCATGTTACATGAAGTAGCAGAAATTATCTGATGGAAACAGGAATGGGGAAGGGGGAAAAGGCGCTGCAGCAATCCACTACTTCCTAAGCAGTACAGTTGTGCTGACACTGATGAGTTAAATACACAGTCTAGCAGTTTCAGCAGATCAGAGTCAACCAGACCCCCACTGTCTGAGCTGAAGCCATTCAAGCTGGAGTGCCTGGGCTGAACACGTTGTGAGTTGCAGCTTCTAGCAGAACAGCCAGGAAGCCCAGCCTGGGAGACGCCGCCCCGGGGAGGAGCCGGCCCATGCTAATGAGCAAGTTGCCTGCCAGAGACAGGAACTCCGTTCCCCTCCGTGTCAGGATCGCAGAAATTATGCCCCTTCTTTCACCATGAGCTGGCTTTCCAGTTCTCAGGGAGTTGTGCTAACTGCCTACCATGCCAGCAGCAAGGACCAGGCCGTGGGGGACAGCCATGCAAAGCAGGGTGGGGAGCCCACCTCCTCCTCCAGGTAAGCCCCGGCATTTGAAAGGCAGCAAACAAAACCAAACCTCCTACCTGCCCCAGGGGAAAAGTGACAGGGAACTGGGTGGGGAGAAGAGAATGACCTCTGTCCCTGGGACCTCGCCTCCTGCAGCAGCAACAGCGGTGCTAGGTGGAGTTTTCATGGACTTTTCCTCTGCCCTAGCCCCGGACTGGGAGAGCCCACAGAAAGCAGGCACTGGAGCCAGGACAGGGCGTCATGGCTCTCAGCAGGTGCATGTGCAGGCACTGGGCAGATCAGATGACCATATTTGAAACACTTCCTATGAGATGGAATTCTTGAATGGGCTCAAGACTCAGCAACTGGGACTGCACGCTGCTGCGAAAGGCTGCCAGAAAGCAGGCGTGCTGCTTGCTGTGCAAGTCGCTGTTGTTGGTTTTTTTTTCCTCCTCACTGAAAGCAAACCTCTTAGGCAAACCGCCCAAGACGCTGGCCCATGGCAGCAGGTTTCACATTCTTTTGTGTGTTTGTGTTCTTTCTCCTCCCTCCGGAGCTTTCAGAGAGGAGCGCTGGTTGGGAGCTACAACTCGCGGCTTGAGTGAAATGTGGTTAATGTTAAATCACTTTATAGGCAGAGAGGGCAAATGCTCCGTAGACCACTGAGGCGCAAAGGGAACCGTTTCCTCTACCTGTGTACTTTGTTCTGTTTCCCAAGGGATTTTTTTTTTTCCTTTCTTCCCTTGGTGACCTTCTCACTAGCTGAATATTTTTACCTCCAGCCTTAGATATAAATGGTAAATATTGGCCTGGAAAATTGCACAAAGCAAATGCTAACACATAGCCTAGGATACCAAATTAGTTATCAGTAAATGCATTTCCTCCTTGATACTTAATGTGATAATAAAGCCTTCTTTGTTCTTCTGGGACTTACGCCTATGTCCTACGCTGAAAAAATGCCTTCTTTCATGTGTTGTAAAATCCCCAAATATGGAGGAGGTGAGAAAATGAAGGAAGTGGCTGTAGCGCTCCAAGTTGGTCATAGGCTGACAGAACTTTTCTTTTTCATGCATTAGCCCCAATATGTATCCGCCGAATGAATTCAGTGCCAGAGAAAAAAGGGAATTGCTGCTTGTGCTGGAGATATGTCACCATATTATTTTTGTTGTTCGAAGTATTTCCTGTGAAAACCACAAATTGTTTGCATGCGTTTTCCTGTAGAACACTAATATATTAGTAATCTTTTGGCAGTTAGCAGCCTACAGCACCAGCCCTGTGCCAGCCATAACTTGGCTTCAACATGGCAGGCGAAATTGCCAGAATTGTGCAAGCTCAGCGTGTTCCTCAGTGACTTTAGCCGGGGGCAGCTGGAGGATCTGAAACGAAGCTTGGATTGGGAGAGCGGATAGTACCATAGGGGCCTTGGTGTCCCAGACAAGGAATTCCTTCGCTTCTTGCAAGGTCTGTGGTTCTAGGATTTGCCTGGGGCTGCATACCCAGGTCCCTGCACTGTTTTCCCTGTGTCTGCAGTTTGGAAGCTTGTTGTGGGTTGAGTGAACAAAAGAGGGGAAGGCATTATATTGAACTATTGCTGAGGCAGAACCAAGAGGCACTGCGGGGGCATAGTGGGCAGCTCCCCAGGCGGGGAGGGCTCACAGTGTGGCCACAGTCCCACATCGGCTCAGAAAGTGTCCCTGGCGGGCTGCCATATTGCTTGCCCATACTGGCCCCAGGTTCCCACTTGTTGACTTGGAGTCCTAGGGATAAGTATTTCTTTGGTTGGAGTAGACGGGAGCCTGCTTTGAGGGCTGGGAGGAAAGGCAGGGAGGGAGGCGGACAGACCTCACTACCTTCTTTTAAAGCATGAAATATCAGCTAGGCATAAAGTAACTTTGGGAGGCACCTGGTATATCCTGAAAGGGTTGAGACACTGGAATTGGTGTGGGGTGGGGATGCATGAGAGGAAGAGCGATTGCAGGGTGGAGTGAGATCACTAGTGACCACCTAAGAATGGCGATGACGGGGTGGTGGGTGGGACTGGCTTGGACTGCTGTGTTGGTTCAAGTCTTAGAAGATGTTCCAAGGCAGTTGCTGTTTGGGGGCTGGTGCCTATTTGGCACAGTTCTCTATGCAGTGACACCCAAAGGAAATGCTTGAGAGGGTAAATGAGACTCTGCGTTTCGTACTGCCTATTTAAAAACTGCCAGAGGCCACGTAAAACCTGACTTTTGTTATCACAAGATTTTATCTCCTGAAGAGTATGAACTATTTAATCAAACATTTGATCTTTGATGAACTATTTAATCAAATACTTAGTAAGATAAGCGCATGTATACATAATGCCATTTAAAAAGTATGAAAGGTTATGTATGCGATTTTAGTTACTTATAGAAAATATTTGATTTTCAGCCTTGCCTCAGTCCATTTTCATTGTTCTGGCCTTTTGAAAAAGTGGGATAGCAGGTAATCAATATTTTGTAAATAATCTGTTAGTCTAAAATTCCCTCCATTCCATTATCCTTCTTCAGAAGCCATTCACTGAATGGCAGGTTTAAGGAATTCCTCCCACTCCTGATTAAGGCCTCTCAAATATTTGTAGAATCTTGTTTTTATTCTTCTAAAAAAATGTGTTCTCAAAACATCAGGATTTGAAAAAATATGTTCACATTAGTTGCTCTGGCTGAGCTGTCCACAGTCAAATGTTCCCAGAGGAAACCGCTTTTTTATGAGCAGCTAAATTTATAAGACTTTATTTACTTGTTTTCCAAGCAGGCTTGTTCCTATTTACTTTTGAAAAGTAGTTTTTCAAAGAATACTGCATTTTGTCTATTTTTACTGTTGTCTCTGCCATCCTTTTAAGAAAAATTATTCTGATTGCTATTATTTTTATAACTATTTTAATATTGTGTCCAGTGATATTTACATTCTTATCGCAACTTTGAACTCTGTACCTGAGTAGGTTGGAGAATGAGATATTTTTACATCTTCTTTGAACAAATATGTTGCACTCATCATGAGGAATCTTTTTGACCCCATTCGCCATTGGGCAGGAAGGACAAGAGAGGCTACACTACAGTGACATGCGCCCTATAACCAGGCTACAATACAGTGACTTACGCCCTGTAACCATCTGCCAGGTTGACATCCCCTTCCTCCCTCGTTATGTAGCAGTGTGACCTTAGACATTAAGCCTCTGCTATTAATTGAACTTCATAACAGTACTCACCTCATTGGGATGATTAAATGGGGTGATCCACATAAAGCTTGTGGAACACTGTCTGATACTTTCTTTAACACTAGGTTAAGAAGAGAAAGAATATTCTTCCTTGGTTCAGGAGCATTTTGTAAATATTTTGCCATGTGTTAAGATGTATAGGAACGATAGGTGCTTGACTAAGAACGACATACTTGAAATTAGCCAAAGTTGAGGCCTTTGAAGTCTTGAGAGACCTTGGAAATGTTTTTTTTAGCAACTGTTGTTCTGCTCGGAACAAGGGATAGCCGCCTGTGGAAGGCTTACCTTGGGCTGCTGAAAGGCTTTGAGGTTTTCAAACTCTGACTTTTATAGCAACACTAAAGGTGGGTGGATTCTTTTTTGGCAGCTGGCCTTCCTCCTGTCTCCGCATTTCTTTTCTCAGTCTCTGAGAACTACTGCCCAGCATGGGGATGGAAAAGGACTGTTCCCTCCATACGTTTATCTCAGCTCAGGGTTTCCCAAGTCTCCAGCATTCCTTGCTTCTATAAACATAGCCATTCAGTCCCGCAGTCAACCCGGTATAATCTCCAAGGTCTTGCTGAGTGCCTGCCGGTTGTCCGGCTATGAGCATCATATTGGGGAACTAAATGACCACCTGTGTGGGGAAGAAAGTAGAAGATGGAAACCTGAGCGGGTGAGAGGGGCAAGCCCTGCAGGTAGCTGGGAGCAGACGTCCAGGGCAGAGAAAGGGTAGGGGGCATGGGAGCCATAAGCTTAGAGGAGGTGCAGAGCAGATTCCCACGGAAGCCATGAGCCCTGTATGGCTGAGGGAGAAGAAAGCAAACTGGCAACTGAGCGTCTCTGCAGAACCTTTGGGGAATTAGTTTTGTGCCAGAGTTAGGTGCAAAGACATTGACCGAGGGGCAGGGTTTCGAGCACAGGAAGACTGGCGCAGCTTGCACTTTTCAAAGTCCCCCCTGGCTGTGATGTCGATTGCAGACCCGAAGAAACAGCAGTAGCACTCAGCAGGCGAAGGTGATGGTGCCCTGGGCCTAGGCCCTGGGCACTGAGGCGGGGGGTGGGGGGGCAGCAAGCAGTGAAGGTCATATGTGCAGGTTTCCTGACGGCTGCGGCAGACACGCAAACAAGCGTGAAGAGCACTGCCAGGCTCTTGGTCTGAGAAACTTGTACGGACAGAGTTGCCATGCATTTCCATAGGGGAGACTTCCTGGGGTAGAATTTCCTCGCTAGGTCACTTCCTTCCAGGGTGAGCTGACCGAGATCTGAAGCTCAGCGTTGGGCCTGCGAGTTGGAAATAGCTTTCGGCACGAAGCACGAAGAGAAGGACATGGCTGTCTTTCTGGATGAGGTCAGCATTTTTATGAGACTCTCAGAGCCTTTTAAACACTTACGTTAATACAGTTCCTTCTGACTTTGGATGTGATCTGATATTATTGTGGCGAAAAAAGGCAAGCTTGGCCCTGAGTTCTTAGGCTATAGCTAGTTAATGTACATTCTCTCATTTTAGTTGTATAGGACTTAGTGACGGTGCTTTTTTTCCCTTTTTTAACCTGTCCATCTAAACTGTTCACTAGATCTATCTAGTCATTGATTTCATGGCATATGGATACCTTTTGAAGACCCATTTTCTTTACCATGCAGTTCCTGCTTTGCTTGCATCTGTGTCGTCACCCTTGTGTCTAAGTGGGCTTGCCTCATTTCTCATTGCTCTTTTTGTAGGTCAAGTTCTATTAGTGTTTTCTTAGAGTGTTGAAACTAAGTGGATTCATAGCAGTCGATGAGTTTGATTGGAAGTACGTGATTGCTGCTGGAT